GCACCACATGCCAGCTAGCCCCGCCCCCTGGTGGGCTGAGCTGGCCACACACACACACACACACACACACACACACACACATAAATAAATTAAAAAAAAATATTTGATTCGATGGTTGTCTGCATAGGTTTTTGTCACTATAACAAAATACCTGAGATAATGACCTTATAAGGACAAAAGTCTCTAAGGGTGTGCTTGTGGGGTTGAACCAAGGGACTGTACATGTGAGGCAAGCACTCTACCTCTGAGCTACTGCCCAACCTGTAAAGAAATGCTATAAAAGTTTTATTTCAGCTCACAGTTTTGAAGGTTCCATTCCAAGACCAGCCAATCTCAATGTTTTGGGCTCACGGGGAGGCAGCTTATCACAGAGGGAGAACACAGGGGAGCAAAACTGCTCATTTCATGGCCAGGGAGCAAAAGAGAATTAGAAAGGGGTCGAGGTCTCACAGTCCTCTTCTGTGACATCCTCCGCAGCAACTATCTCGCACTGATCCCCCGTCCCTCATCACCCTCTCCCACCCTGGGGACTGAACTGTTCATACAAGGGCTTTGAAGAGAGATTCCAGATCAAATTATGGCAATGTGAACGAAAAACAGTAAAATGAAAATCCTAGAACTGGCCAGAAGTTCAAGTTTTAAAATATGAATACATTTGAGACAAAAGTGGAAATTACTTTGTGTGTGAGGAAGGGCATCATCCAGTAGAAGAGCACAGGGCTGAAAGTTTCAGCAATTCTCCAGCTGTGAAGGAAAAGAATCAAAGGAAACGGGGGACGTGCTGGTGCTGGAAACATGGTGCTAATTTCTTCTGAAAAGAAAATTGTAATTATAAATTCTATTAGATGCTTAAGGGGCAGAAGCCTTTTATGACTGTTTTGAACTTGTTTTCTTTAATGCATATATGATATTACCTTTCAAGTTTATATATCTTTCTCTTAATATTTTTATTTTTTTACTGTCACATAATAGCTGCACATACAGAGTGATTCAGCTCATGTATATAATGTGTAGTCAGATAAGGATAACCGGCACATCCCTCCCCTCGGATTATCTGTCATGCCTTCACTTGACTGTATTCATGTTGAAAATGACTTTGTCATAAGAGTGAAATACAACACTGTGATTTTGAAGCTACAGTATCTCAACCTACAATCAGCCTGCATCTCATTCTTTCCTGGGAATTTATCTGCTCCTGAGGAGAATCTCTCAGACTTAGAAAGAGACAAAAATGTTCCCTCTTTTGGGGATAATAATTATATCGTCACCTCACATATACACACAGTACTAACTTGTCCGCTAACTCTGGTGGCATTGGAACCCTTTGAATTGGGAGACAAGTATTTTCTAGAAAGCCTTCTTTTTATTTGTCTCAAGATGATTTCTGGTCTCTGGTACGCAGGTTCTTTGTCCTAGGGGCTCTGCCAGAGCTGCTTCAGCCAGAACAAAACCTGGCAGCACAGAAGTCAGAAAAGGGAAGCTGCTGTGTGTGCCACCAACCCCTGTGCCCCGCGTCAGCCTCTCTGGCTGTCACCACACTTCATTCTCACCATGTCCTTAAAAGGAATAAGATATTTTATCCAGATGAGGGAAACTTGACTGCAGAAAGTTCAAACAAGTTTGGCTTTTAGCTCCCACGCCCACCCCAGGTATCCATGCTGTGTATCCCCTTTCTAATTTTCTGACATGGCTCTTATTAATGTATCTGAATTACAGCCAGTTTTTGTTCTTCCTCTTCCCTCGGAGATGTCCTTTGTGCAGACGTTAGAGTTGTTCTCTACCTGTCCCATAAACAGCTTTGGGATCTAGTGGATCCCAGGATCAAGGGGATCTCAGGATCAAGGGGATCTCAGGATCAAGCCAGAGGCCGCAGAAGTCTCCAGACAGCTGTAAAGAAATCTCACCACTAGGTGGCAGCCTTTGTCGGAAATGCAGACCTGTCCTGCTGGGTCTTGGCTCTGAAGAATGGTTTAAGTACCCGACTCCAGAAACCCTTCTTCTGTTTATTCATTGATTCAACAAATATTTTTAAGTGCTGACCACATGCTTGGCACTGTTCTAAGCAAAAGGGATACACTGGTGTCCAGGAGAAAGGCCCTTTATGGAGCGGCACAAGTTAGACGTGGAAGAGGAGCATCTTAAATCAGGGGGACAGTGCGAATGACCGCTTCAGCAGAGGTGACCGCTGGAGCACAGGCCCCGCTCCTGCCCGTGTCCCACACATCCAAGGAGCAGTAAAAAGGCCAGGCAGTAAGAAGACCAGTGGGGCTGCACAGAACGAACAGCAGCAGGACGGGAGAGGCTGCTGCTCATTTGGATGATTCTATGTACAGCGCATGTAGGACTTAACACAGTGTTATTTTAAACGGATGCCAGTGTTTTGTTTTTTTGGTAGCAGGAATTGAACCCAGGACCTTGTGCTTGCCAGGCAGGCGCTTATGCCACTGAGCTATATCCCTGGCCTGATGCCAGTGCTTTTTAAAAGTCCAATAAATAGAAATAAACATTAAGGTCCAGTTTTATCTTGACCAGGCACTGCTTTAATGTTCACCGAATCTCAGGCATCTCAGTGTTATAAGTGAGGACAAAGCAGTTGTGTCTCCAAGGTCAAACGGCCTGCTTCCCAGGCAGTGTCTGTGGCCTTGCTGGCACTGGTGCCTCTCCGTTCTCCAGTTACTCATGTCATGCCCAGGTAATACCTCAGTCTCTGACCTGTGGGGCCCGTCGTCTCTTACCCGGGAAGGAAGTGACCCTGTGCCCAGGCTAGGCAGATACAGACTCCTCCAACACACCAGGTAAATATTCTCATCCCCCTCTAGTGTGTGAAAGAGCCTAGTTACTGTTCCCAAATTCCAACCCAGGCCCTGATTCCAGAGTTCTTTATTCTGCTGCACTGTTTACTGCTAGAAGGGACCTTTGTTTTTTATTCTGCATCACCTTCCCCTACTGTAGAAGTATTACCACCAATAAGTGACATTTTTTGCTCCTTAGGTACTAGCTACAGTACTATTCTAAATACTTATATTGCCTGTTAGTCTTTGCTACAAGCCTATGGGACAACGTCATATTACTGTTTCATTCTGTAGATCAGACACTGAGGCAGAAAGAGATTAAACCAGGTGTTTACATCCACACTTAGTAAATATTGGGACTAGGACTTGCAGATTAAGGAACAGAGGCTGAGAAGAAACCAAGAGACAGGTGGCCTGCTGGAGAGGGAGCAGAAGATAGGATGTTGATGGGTGTGTGTGTGTGTGTGTGTGTGTGTGTGTGTGCAGGGTCTCACTATGCAGCTCAAACTCGTAGTGATCCTCCTCTTCTCAGCCTCCCCAGTGCTGGGATTATAGGGGTGTGCCACCATGCCCAGACTCGGCCCTAGGAGTGGGGCTGGTGAGGCAGATGCTGATGGTCTTCTAAGTGAGAGGCCAGGGGTGGGAGTCAGCCCCTCTGATGCCCTTTCAGGAGGAGCACTGTGGATCAGGAATGTCAGGAATTGAGAGAGTGGGGCTGAGTCAGCAGATGATATGAAAGAGAGGGAAGATGATGCCCGTGCTGCCTCAGGAATCTCTGGGATGGATGGCATGCTTTTGGGAGTGGTGAAAGGAAGAGATAGGGGATAAGAGGACCGACCATCTGGGTCACCTCATGCATGCGGGCTCAGAATATGTGAGAAGGGCAGACAGGCATGTGGAGACAGTGGTGGGGCCCTCTAAGGCCGACGGTGGAGCTGAGTGCAGGCTGCGCTGACTCTATCTGACACTCCACCTGCCAGAGGAAGCGCTGAGGTGTGGAGTGGGTGAGGGGTCTGAGTTTGCTTGGAGATGACAGCCTGTAAAATCATAGAGTGTTAGGAATGAATTTATTGTCATTTTTTAGTTTTAGAGGTTTTATTGATGAATATACTTTGTGATTAAAAGTAGCCTTTCAGATTCAATATTTGCATTTTCTTTCTATTTTTTTCTTCACTTAGTTCATTCTCTTTCTTTTTTAATGTATTTAGTACAGGGTCTACAGGGTCTCACTACGTAGCTCGGACTCATAGTGATCCTCCTGTTTTCAGCCTCCCCAAGTGCTGGGATTACAGGCATGCACCACCACATCCAGTCTCAATTGCTGTCTCAGTATGCCCCACAGGCAGGGCGTGCACAAAAGCCGGAGATCCAATCATGGCTGCTGTGCTCTGCCTAACCAGGAACTTTAGTCCGCTGAACTATCTGGCTGGCCCTGGTTAATTTTCAAATTCTAGCAAGAACACTTGGTGTAAGATCTACTCCCTAACACATCTTTATGTGCGCAACATAGTTATAATGCTGGACAGCTGCTCCCTAGGACTGGCTCATCTTGAGGGCTTCTGCCCAGTTGGCAGCTTCTCATTTTCTTCTCCCCAGTCTGGCTCTACAAAGCTGAGATCTTTTAGATTCTCTGTATAAGAGAGACCATGCAGCATTTTTCTTTTTGTGAATGGCTAACTTCTCTTGCCATGTTATCCTTTTTAAAGTCCATTCATGTTGGAGCACATGACAGAATTTCTTTTTTGTGTAAAGCTGAATAATATTCCATGAGAGATGGACCGCACTGTTTATCCATAGATTTTAGCAGTGTGTGAAATAACCAGCTGTGACAGTGTTACAAACTCGATCTTAGTGTGTCAGGTGCTACACTCTTAGGTCTCGTGGGACACATGGTTTGTGGCTTTGTATTTCCTAGGAGTAAGTGGTTCAGCTGAGGCCTGGGGGGGGACCACATTTTCCTCTGGCTTTCCTATAGGCACAAGGTAGAATGCTGGCTGAGGCTGGTGTCTTTCTAGGTCTTCTTAGAAGCCTGTGGGTGCTCTCCCTGCATCTCCCAAGAATGTCTGTCTGCTTGCTTCTGTTTCTCTCTGTCTCTGACTCTGCCTCCATCTTCCCCTCTGCCCTTCCTTTTCTCATTTGTGCCTTCATTTTATGGTTTTATTTCTACCAAGGATGGAATTCTTTATTTGTTGTATTTTTTATTTTTTCAAATACAGAATGTACTTGAATGCCATCCTTATACAAACAAGAGCCATGCTAATCTTCTTTGTGTCATTCCAATTTAAATATTAGTGCTGCCAAAGCAAGCACTCCGTGTTTTTCATTTTATTTTGTTTTGTTTTGGGGTGCTGGGAACTGGACCCAGAGGCATTTTACTGTTGAGCTACATCCCAGGCTCTTTATTTTGAGACAAGGTGTTACTAAATTGCCCAAATTGGATTTGAACTTGCACTCCTCCTGCCTCAGCCTTCCAAGTAGCTGGAATTACAGGTGTGTGTGACACTGCACCCAGGCTTATTTTTGGTTTTCTTTTTTTGAGATAGAGTCTTACTGTGGTCCACTGGATGGCCTCAGACTCCTGGACTCCAACAGTCCTCTTACCTGTGCTTCTCTAGTGGGTGGGACTACAGATGTGCGCTTGCTCTCAGCTTCATTGTTTTCTTTCCTTTCTTTCTTTCTTTCTTTCTTTCTTTTTTTTTTTTTTTTCTACCAGGGATCAAACTTAGAGCCAGGCAAGTACTTATGTGGCTGAGCTGTCTTCCCAGCCATTGTTTTGTGGCTTTTGCTGTTCTTTTGTGGGGTTTTGTGTGTGTGTGTGTGTGTGTGTGTGTGTGTGATAATGGAACTTGTACCCAGAACCACTGCCCTGAGTGAGCTACATCCCCCATCAGTCTTTT